CTCCTGCGGCCCGTGGGGCGCGCTCCGCGCCCTTGAATAAACCCTGACTCGCTGTCGAGCGCCGGCGGGCCGGGCCGCCTGCCCGCCTGAGCTATTCTGGTTGAAACCTGGAGCCCTATGCTGCCACCACGATAAAGAGCCAGCCCTCATCCTCCTCTCTTGGTCCCTTAAGTCGCGCACGACGGATTAGTAATTACACACTTGTTTTTGTCTCTTTACCATGAACATTACCAAACCCAAATTAATATTAGATAGTTACTAGCATTTTATAAAAATGTAATAGAATTAGGGCCGGGAACTTGGCTCAGTGGTTCCGCTCCCTGCCTCGCTAGTGTAAGGTTCCGAGTTCGAGCCCTGGTACCAAAAAAGAAATAGCATTAGTGGAAAATAACTGAGCGTCCTATGTAATGAAAATATGTGTAGCCTGCAAAGCATTCCACTTAAGTGTGGAGTTGGTCCTGACATAAACTATTGCTTTTCTTTTGTATTTTTTAATGTACTGAGAACAACTTACCACCATGCCAGATGGGCACTGTGGCTCCAGTTTACTAAGCAGGAAACAGCCCCAGCACACAGGTAAGTTGTAGGTGGGCTAGAGGGTCGGAAGTGGGCCCATACACCACACCCTACACTGCCTCCTGCCCTCTGGGAAATCCAACCACTCCCACCACAAGCCAGCAATATCCAGTTCCAGAAATGTAAAAGGACATCAGAGGAAGCAGGAGGAAAGGTCCGAAAGTCTTCCAGTGTATCGGCAATGATTTACCTCCATGTGCCAAAATTGCTTCCTGGCTTCTGGAAAATTGTGCCCAGGAGAATGGAGACAGCTAAGCACAGACCTACTCTTTTCTTGGGGGAGAGAAGTCTGGGGCAGCTTGGCTCTCAGCTTCTACCTTAGGGCAATACAACCCGGATAGGCCCCCTGGAGGTACCATCACACCTGGCAAGCACCTCTGCAACCTCCTGCTGACCTACTGTGGGGCTGAGGTTCTTCTTTCCTCCCGCTTTCCAAATTGGGATACTGAGGTCACATCCTCTCAACCTCATTCTGGTTTCTGAGACAGGAGTCCCTGTTGAGGGTGGAGATGCCTTCTTCACTAATAAGCTGATTCTGTGCTGGAGAAGTGAGCTGGACCTTGAGTCCCAGGTCCCGAGGCGGGAGATGCAGCAACCAGAGACCTCCAGATACCTGCCAGGCTCCTGGCTGTGCAGCTGGGTGCTTCCCTGAGGCTAATAGCCAAGCTACCAAAAAATACACACAGCGTCCAGGTCCAGGAATGCAGGCCCTGCCTTCATCCCACGTATCCTGCCCAGCACCTGCTTGAGAGGGTGGGCAGTTGTGCTGGACTGAAACCTGACCCAGGAGTCCATGGGGGTGGCCTGTGTCCAGGCTGGGGCACTAGTCTGGTCTAGAACCCCCACACTGTCAGCTCTTCCTGTGTGTGCAGGTCGGAAGCGCCCACACATTCGGTGATCATGACCAGTGAGGCAAGGAACGTGGAGAAATGATCCCACTCTTCTGGCAAACCCCTGGCAGTTAAGAGTCCCTGCCTCACTTGCTCCACTGGCCAGATAGAGATACAGCTACCCTGCCCATCTTCCTGGTGTACTCTGGGTCACCTCACCTGCAGACAGTGCCTGTGAATGGTTTCAAGGCTCTCAGAGACTGGAGGCAGCTTCAGAGGCATCCAGTAACCGTGAGCTGATTACTAAGGTCCCCGCTGTGTGTATGGAGGAGAGTGAAGCAGTTCCTAACGGACAGGTGGAGATGTGGCGATGGCCTGTCCATCCCATGCCGTGTCTCAGTCCAGCTGGGGTCACGCTGGCCAGTGTCCTGCAACAGGTAAGGGTCATTGCCATAAACTATTCTGTGAGTCAAATGTACACCTGGAATAAGATCTGCGTATCATTGACCCATGGGAGGGACACAAAGCAGGAGCAGCTTCGGAGGAAAAGGTGGATAGGTTCATAGCCCACAGGTAAAGTAAGAATTAAGTTGGTGGTCTGAAGTGTAGGGACCTGCCAGGGAAAGGGGACCTCGCCTACCCCTCTTCTCAGGAAGAATCTGGTACAGAGGAGGGGTTGAGGGAAGGCCTGCAGATGACCTCCCCGCCACAGCCAGCCAGCAGAAAGCAAGGGAGGCACAAGCAGACTGGTGGGCTCGTTACTGGCTTTGTAGTGGGCACAGGAAGGGGCTGGGAGGCCCAGGAACTGTGTCCAGGACACAGTGACCCACGTGCACTTGGACAGGAAGGAGAAGGGAGGACTGAGTTGGTCTCATACAACTGGAAGTCCTCGCTGAGCCCTCACATGTTCTCTGCATCTTGCCAAGATCCATTTCCTCCTGCACAGGGCTCTGCACGGCAGTTTCCAGGTGTGAGCAGCAGCAGGTTAGAGTTCAGGTGTCCTTGGACATTCTGCCCTTCTCTCTCCCAGTTTCCTGCTCCTCCTCTATCTCTCTTTCCTCTTCCCTGCCTTCTCTTCTTTCCACATCACCCCCTCCCTCCCTACTTCCTCTTTTCTTCCTGCTGTTCTCCTCTCTGTCTCCACCCCAGCCCACCCTGACAGCCGCACCTTCTGGTGTGAGGAGTGGTGCATGGATGAATAGGTACTGCGGGAAGCCGAAGAGATGTAGAAACGCCACACACAGATAAGCAACCCTGGCAGCCTTGATGGGACTGTGGGCAGACCCAGACACTGGATCTTTAAATGTTAGACTCGAATGGAGGCAGCCTTGGAGCTGCCACCCCAGAAATACAGAAGTTAAATGGTTGGAGAACATCGTGGAAATAGAAATAGGCCCCCCAGGTGGGGGACCAGGCAGGGTTGCACAGCCAAGTCGTGACAGGGTGGCTCCAGTGGAAGTCTGCTGGCTGCTGACCCTTTGTTCTCAGCCTCGTGGTCTTCTGTGATCAGTCCTGGGGGACGGAGACCAGGTGTGCTTTCTGCATCGGGGGAGGTTGGGCTCTGCGGATGTCCAGAGGGAGGCTGCCCCGAGGCTGGAGCAGGGCAGTGCAGAAAGGAAGCCGTTCATCTCCAAGGGTCTCCTCTGACATTTCATTTCTGTCTTGATGCCATTCAAGGAAGCAGGATGTGCCCTAGGGAGTTGCCATGGCAATCAAGGCTACCATAGGAGCACCCCATCCAGGCTGGGCACTTCTCTGCACATGCTTGGTGGTGCTGGGCAGAGCTACTGCCCCAAGAGCGAGGTCGTGTAAATAGATGGTCCAGGCCTCCCAGTGCCTGACCTCATCCTGGAGCACTCTGTGCTAGCTCTGAGGCTGGCATGCTGAGGATGGGAAATATTCTGCCAGAGGCATGGCTATTTTTACTCTTGTGCAGGTCCAATTTGTTAGCACCATAATCCTTTCCTTCTGTCTCTGCCTTAACCATAGAGCAAAGGCTGGATTAAGGCTCCAGGTGGCGAGGACACTCCAGGAGCCAAGCACGCCCACTTGGGCCCACAGAAGCCAACACTGGCTGCTGGGATGCCGGGTGAGGGGATGCTTCAGTGGGAAGGGCAGAGTGTAGGCAGGTGGATAAGAAGGCTGGACCAGAAAAAGACAGTTTCCCATCCCAGGGCTGCTTCAGCAGGTACCAGACTGGGGAGGCTGGACCTCAAACATTCCCAGTGGCTTGTTTTGTTAGACAGGCAGTTGCTGGCATATTTGTGTTTTCCAAACACCAATATATGAACCCCACTTGCCTTGGGAGTTCTGCCAGCTCAGTTTGTTTGTTTCCTTCCTTCCCTTTCCTCCCTCTCTTTCCCCTTCCCCTTCCCCTCTCCTCTTCCTCTTTTGCTTTCTTCTCTTCCTGAACCTGGGCCTTTATACTGAGCTACATCCCCAGCTCTTTTTATTTATAAATTCCTACTAAATCACTAAATTCCCCAGGCTGGGCTTGAACTTGTGATCCTCCTGCCTCAGTCTCCCAGAGTGCTTGGATCAGAGCATTCTTTCAGATGGCATTCACCAGCATCATGGAGCCTCAGGGCCAGCAAGCTTGAGTCTGATCCCTTTGCCTGCTGGGTTGGACCTGAATGCATTCCATATTTATCTATAGATTTATTGAGGCGCGTCACTCACATACCACAGTATTCACTCATTTAAAGTTGAATGATGCTCAGTACAATCTCAGAACTGTCCAACCATTGCATCTAATTCTGAAGCATTTCATCACCGCCCAGAAACCCCCACACGCATTAGCAATTTTTCTCTGCTCCCCCTGCCCCTAGTACTAAGTAACTTAAGGCTTTTGGTCTTTATGTAGTTGTCTTTTCTGGACATTTCATATAAATGGAATCACACAGTAGATGCCCTTTTGTGACTGCCTTCATTCACTGAGCATATGTTTGTTTCCAAAACTTGTCCACGTTAGAGCACTTCATTCCCATTCGTAGTTGGATAACGTTCCAGCCATGATGTTGCTTATCTGCTCACCAGCTGGTAGACATTTGGGTTAGTTCTACTTTTTCTTATGAATGATGCTGCTCTGAGCTTGGTATACAAGTTTTTTTGTGGACCTGTTTTTGTTTATCCTATGTTTATACCCAGGAGTATAGTTTCTGAGTCTCATGGTAATGCTGGCTTGGGAGGGCACCGGGAATCGAACCTAAGATCTGCCCACTGAGTTACATTCCCCAGACTTGTTTATATGATTTTGAGACAGGGTCTCACTAAGTTGGCCCAGTTGGCCTTCAGCTTGTGACCTTCCTACCTCAGCCTCCTAAGTGGCTGGGATTACAGCACGTGTGATCACCTGTCTGTGTAACATTAGGAGAACTTCCAAAGTGGCTGTACCACTCTTCCCAGCAGCTGTGTATGGAGTCCTTTTGATTTTTATTTTTTTAGCAGTTCTGTTTTTAATGAACATATTACAAAATGAGATTGGGTCGAAAAGACCAGAGCCCATGTCATCAGCAGACTCCTCAGAGTCTTCCTTCTTTGCTTCCACTCTCTTCCCCTCAGCTGGGACAGTGGGGATGGAGGGGACAGGGCCCCCCTGCAAGTGCAGCACCAGCCCCGCCATTGCAGATGACATCGAGGGGCTGTGCAGACAAGCCGGGACAGGAGGGGTCAGTACTGATGTCAGCTGCTTTCATGAGGGTTTGTCAGGGTCACCTCCACATCATGCAGAACGAGGGGGAGGAGATGCAGGTGAGCTCGGAGCCGGAGGCCACGGTGTGGGCTGTCTGTGCAGGGCCAGTTGCCGGATGAAGTGGGGGCCTCACCCAGTGTGGCTTTAGCCCCCTAGGAAGAACCGAGCACCTCGGTGGCAGCTGGGAGGAGACTGGAGCCCTCACTTTGTACAGCACCAGTTGGTGGCTGGCGACAGGTGGGTGTTCACGCCGAAGTGGGGCTGTTTCTCTGTTTCTCTACTCAGCTGAGAGCCTCAGAGAGTTCTCTCCCTGGGATGAACAAGGCAGAGAGAAGCTTCTTTTGTGACAGGACCGCAGCCCCCTCCTGGGGTGAGCTGCACAGGGCGCTGCTGCAGACACAGGCTGAGCTCCGGCAGCTGTATCTCCTCAGGTTGGGTAGCCCTCTGCTCCATTTCCAGAAACAATCAGTCAAGGGGTCCCAGAGAGCCCCACCCCTGGTCCTGCGGTGTCACCAAGGAGCCTGGCAGCCTCCCTGGAGGGACATGCCTTTCCTTAGCCCAGCATCTCACCAGCCGGGATGAGTCTGGTTTCTGGGAGAGCTCTGTCTCACCCACAGCCCTTGATGGGGAGCCCCCCTGTGGCTGGCCGCCTGGCTCAGGAGCTCCTCAGGGGTCCAATTACATACTCATCAGGGCCCCTGTCCACGAGCCAGCCCCTTTCTCCCCCTGTAGGCGGTCCTGACTTTGGCCTAACAACAAAGTTTCAGCCGCTTGTTCAACCATCTGGCTGTCAAGTCTGAGGTTGAACTTGAGCTGCTTCTGCTCTTCCTGCCTGAGAATAGGGCTTTTGGAAGCTGCCAGTACACTTGCTGGCTCCCACACTCAATTTTCAATTGTTTGTTAATTGCCCTCAGCTGGTCATTATCCAGCTCTAAGTCCATGCAACTGGGTTAACAACCCACCAGCGCCATTAACCTCGCTGCCTCCTGTTTCAAGCACCTGAATCAATTTGATGCCTGGTGTTGAGCTGGTCCCTGTCTCCTCCCCTCTTCGGGCCCCTTGTACAAGTTCCTTCCCGTGCCTGCTGTTCTCCCAGGCCATCCCCAGCGGAAGTGACAATGACCTGGCCAGAGCCAGGCATCTGCTCAGAGCGGTGGGGAGTAGCCTGGTTTGCCAGCCCATTCTGTGGCCCATTCTGGACCATTCCCTCTCCAATCCCAACTCACTGGGCTCCCCGGGAAGCAGATGTGGACATGGCCAGAGGTTTCTCCGGAAGGAGGAACCTTCTCATACCTTTGAGAGGAGAAAGGGAGAAAGCAGGACAGGCAGGGGCTGTGATGACCGCCCCCCGCTTGCTTGGTAGGGGCTGGGGTCACTGAGGGGAGCCAGATGTGGCTTGAAGGTGACTGCTGGAGACTGCCAGCTTGCCCTACTCCTTGTAGCAGTCCTTTTTAGAGGGCATCTGAGCGGCACCTTTCCATATCTGCCACCTTCTGGGGAGCCCTCAGTGATTCACTGCATGCCGTTCCCGGAGTAAGGACCCTTCTCTGGGAGGGTGCAGAACACACCTGCTAAAAGAGGCTCCCGGGGGTGGGCCCCTTGGCCTCTGCTGATTGGATATAGTGGTCACCTGACCAGCAACCACTCCCTAGGCTGGGGCAGCCAGCTCTCTCCTGGGTAGTGTCACTTTGGGGCCTGGGGGCTGAGGCTGATTTGGGCCTCACAGGAAGAGCAGCTGGGTGGCACTGTGTCAGGACCACGCGGTTGTCCCTGTTTGGGACTGAGGAGGAGCCTTCAGAAGTGGAGAGAGGCAGGTGGATAGGGCTGTCCCGCTAGGTGCAACACCAGCAGAGGTGGAGGCGCACTGAAGGTACCAGTTCCAGGGAGCCCAACTGGTGGCAGCGGTTGGCTTGCAGTGGCCTGCAAACGGACTTTGGGTCCTTGTGACAAATCTCCCTTGAGAGGCTGGTTTTGCATGGGTTAAATCTCTGGACCTAACCAAAGCATCCACACAGGAAAGGCTGAGTTCCTTTCAGGTTACCATCCTTCATTGTCCCGACACCAGAATTTGACCGTAGCCTCTGTCACTTCTGTAGAGCTGTCTGGCAATGGTGAAGGGGCAGCAGAATTCACCCCCACCCCGTTTCAGGAAGAAGAAGTTCCAGCTGACGGTCCAGGATTCTTGTTACCCTGTTGCCACGTTCCCTGTTCTCTCCTCCACAGGGCACACGCAGCTAGCAGGTGTAACTGGGGAGAGGGCCTGCCTGGGGTGTAGCCACCAAGTGGACAGCCGTAGATCTCCAGCACCGATTTGGATGGCTATGTCCAGCCTTACCTTGGTCACAATCTATTCATACGAGCCAGTGGAGAGATTGAGTTGGGTTGGATTCTGCCAATTGTTGCCACTGAAGAGGCTCAGAGGACTTTTCTGTTCCCTCACTTGATGGTCCCTGCCGTGTCTAAACCAAGGATTATTCCAGGGACCCTGCCCAGCCCCTAGGGCCGCAGCCTGAAGATGCATACTAAGCCCTGCGTGGGGTGCTGGGATACAGTAGTGAACAAGATGGTGGGGCTGTGACTCATGGAGCCCACATAAGTCAAGGACACAGCAGCATCTACAGGAAGGAGGATGGTTGCTCGACTGGCTATCGGTGGAAGCAGGCTAGGGCACTGCACCATCTAGGAAGGTGAGCAGGGCTCCTGGAGAGGGAGCAGGCGTGACAGGGCTTCTCTCTGGGGACATTTGCCCTTGGAAGCCCAGCTCAGCGGGCCAGAGAGGCCTCTCCACTGACAGCCAGTGTCACCCAGCAGGTGAGAGTGTGGGGAGCCTGCAGAAGCTTCCAGACCCAGGCCAGCTTCTGGACAGGGTGGAGCAGGGACAGGTGAGTTCCTGACCCACAGAAATGAGAATCTGAGCACGTCTCCACCTGATCTGGGGCCTGCACTCCCTGTGGGTACAGGTGACTGTGGGGACCCTCCATAGGCAGCAAGCAGCAGATCTTCTTTGGGGTTCTCTTAGTCCTACTGGCTCAGCCTGTGGGGGTGTGGCCAGTGTCCCACTTTTCTCCTGAGTGTGCAGTGACTTTGCTCCTGGGCCTGGTGAGGAGCCCCGGGTGCCTCTTAGCTCAGCTCCCACAGGCCATCTGCAGACCCAGGCCTTCCCACAAGCTGGCCTGTCCACTCCTCCCCTCCTCAGCTCATGTCCTGTACTGCCTCGCTGGCTGCTGACACCTCCCACTTCTAGGAAGCCCTCCCGGACTGGCATCTGTGGTGACTTTTCTTGGAAGCTCTGAAAGGATTCACCGTCGGGCTGAAGGAAGCAGTATCCTCCCCCTCACACGAGTGGGTGACTTCGCTGTGTTTCATGCCTTTGGTTTTGTTCCAAAGGGATTTGGATCCAGTCAGGATGTGAAAAGCTGAGCCTGGGTATGGGAACACGTCATTCCTTGTACTGTCTGAGGCTGAGCTGTGCCTTTCCCATCAGCCTCTGCCTCCTGCCTCTCTCCTTCTCTCCCCTTCCTCTCTGCTGATTCCTCCTCTCTCCCAAGCCCTAAGTCATCCCCTCCCCACCGCCCTGCAGTTTAACCTGCTCTGCCTGCCCCACTTTTCCGCTCTTCCCTGCAGCGCTGACCCTTGAGCCCAGCAGGGTCCTAGAGGGTACTGTCCAGGCGAAGGTCTCCAGTGACCTCCGGGACGTTAGGCCCCATGAGCCGCCCTTGGGAGGGTGCCTGGGAACCCCAGGCATCCCAGCTTCCTCTCTCTGCCACCACCACGTGTCTAGGTCCCACTTGGGTCCTTCTCTGGCGCAGGGCCCAGCCCTGACCTGGCGTGACAGCCGCCTTTGGGATCTCACCCTGTGAGGGCTTCTCCTGGGGCAGCCTGCTCCACAGCTCCAGGCTGCTCTGCAGGCGCCTGTAGTGGTGCCCAGGCCTACCCCAACTCAGCCAGAAACCCAAGCACCCTTTTCTTTTCTCTCATCCCCTCCCTCCCACCCTCCTCCTCTTCCTCAGCCTCCTCAGCTGAGGATGACGCTCGGCATGGGCTCCACTTTCTAACTGCCTAGACCTGCTCCACAGCCATTGGCCCAAACCTCACCTTTGCCACGGCACTGGCAGAGCCTCTGACCTGGCCCTTGACTGTCCTTTCCCTGGAGCCAGGTGAGGATGGGCACATTCCCTTCCTCAGTGGGATGGGACCTTGTCTCCCTGTCTGCTCACCTCGGGGGCTCCCCCTTGAGGTGGGGCCTCCTTGCCACCCTGAGCCTCGGTGCTCCTGTCCCTGCTCCTGCCCACATCCAGACCCTTGGGCCTGGCTCCTCTGCTCCATGGTCACCTTCTCAGACAGCCCAGTCCCTTGTCACAGTCATAGCAGCCCCATCCCACCCCTGGCCCTCCCCCATCATAGCTGCTCTAGGAAGTGTCACTCTTCCAGCAGGGGCCTCCCGAGTGACCTGCGTGCACATCCCTGGGGTGGGGGAGTGGGAGGAAGGGCGCAGAGGTGGCTCTGAATCTGTCCTGATTCTCTGGGCCCAGGGCTCACAACTCACTCATGGGTACAGGATGTACAGCCAGTAGTCTGGGTGGCAACCCTGCCCAATAGGGCAGTTGTTGCCCTAGTACACTTTAAATATTAACAGTAAATTTTTATATTATAGATAAAAAGCATTGATACTGTTGTGGCTGTGTCCAGCTGTCCCCTAAAGCCTCATGTGCTCATAGGTGGGCTTTTTCAAAGGTGGCTGGATGCTGGGATTGTGTGTGATCACTAAAGCAGTCCATTGATTGGTGTGGGACCACCCTAAACCTGGTAGCCTGGATAAAATATAAAGGGGGCAGGAGAAACTGCTATTGTCACTTAGACGTGGTACTTGTGACTTCCTTCTGCCCTGCCGTGGATGGTTTCTCCTCTGTGATGCCTTCTGCCGGGATACCCTGCCTTGGAGCCAGCCGACTAGGGACTGAGACCCCTGCAGACTGAGAGCTAAATAAACCCTTCCTCTTTTAACTTTGGGCATTAAGTATTTTGTCTCAGAAATGAGAATATGGGGGAAGATGCTTGAACGTGTTAGGCAAACACTCTGCTGCTGAGTTATACTCCAGCTTTCAGAGTTGGTTTTTAAAAGGAGCTGGAAGTCAGAAATCCCCTCGGCTGGGTGTGATGGCATACGCCTGTAATTCTAGCACTTGGGAGGCTGAGGCAGGAGGATCACCTTGAATTTGAGGCCAACCTGGACTACATAGTTCAAGGCCTACCTGAACTGCCTAGGGAGATCCCGTTTCAAAAAAAAAAAAAAAAAAAATCTCCTGGTTTTGTTTGTTGGCGACTTACGCAATTGTTCTTCAACATTGCCGCTGGGATTTCCCCCCAGGTGGGGGTGGGACAGACACCTCCCTACCCCCAAGTTTCTGCATGTGGGCCACACATGCCTGGGTTTTCTTCCTTTTGTTTTGCAGGTGGGTACAGATAACACTGCCATTTTGACGCTGCCAGCGGCTTCTCACCCTCAGCTACTTTTCCGCATGGTGGCCATCGGTGTGGTGCCAGTGGCGCAGCACCTGCAGTGACGGTTAAGGTTTCCCTCAAGGTGCTCCTGCCACAGACCCCAAAACAGGGCTGACTTCTCGCTCGACGTGGCATCCTGGACAAAGCGACAGTGCTGCACACACACAGGAATCTCCTGTCATGCTGGGCACCAAGGAAAACAGGACTCTTGGTGCCCAGGGTTGGGCCCCCAGGACCCCAGATTGACTCTGACACAGAAGGCCAGTGCCAGCAGGTTCCAGCAGGTGGGAGCCAGAAGAGAAGAGTTTGAGCCCAGCTCTCGGCCAGGAGACTCCTGTGCTGTCCCAGCACTGAGCCAGCAAGAACGGGAGGCGTCTCTGGAAAGTTGGCATGGGGGTAGGTGCAGAGTGAGGCACCGAGCAGGACAATGCGAGGCTGGGGCACTTACCCTGCTCTCATCCCAGAACCAGGCAGCTGGGTGTCTCTGTCTCCCAGGTGGAATTAGGTCTAGCCGAGTGCTGGTACCAGCATTGCATGGGCATCACAGGCCCCTGCAGCCCGCCCCATGCTCAGGCTGCCACCCTGCTGCTCCACGTCCACAGACTGAGCCTTTCAGGAGGATGTGTGGGGCTCAGAGCCACCAGACTCCTGAGCAAGGAACACCCCATGGAAAGGTGGGCTCTACACCTGCTGGAGCAGGGCACTTAGATGGAACAGAGAACTGGAGGTAATAAACACATGTATGAAAAACCCTATCCCTCATACCCTTGAAGAGATAACGTATCACATCCGTGGTCTAGGAATAGGATGTTGCAAAAAAAAAAAGGAACAAAGAATAAGAGCTCTTAGAAATTAAAAAAAAATAGCAGAAATGAAACATTTGATTGAAGTTAAATTTCTCATGAAGTAGAAACAACAAATGAAAAGCAGTAGGGAAAACATAAGATTACGCCATCAAGGGATGGGAATTCAGCTCAGTGGCACCATACCTGCCTTGAAAGCGCAAGGTCCTGAGTTTGATCCCCAGTATGGGAAACAACAACTGACCATTAATCCGGGAGATCTAAGCTGTAATTAATATGAGTTCCACAAAGCACAGAGGACATCATCAAGTTAATAATCTACCAGAAAGTGTCTACCCAGGACGCCGGCTCCAGGCTGAAGGAATGACAGACCCAACTCAGGTGTGGCCCTATGAGATTTCCAAAACAGAAGACGCAGCCAACTCTGAAAGCTTCTGAAGATTGGGGCAGTGACCAGAGGAGGCAGCAACAGGCTCCAGTGGACACCCCTCCAAGTTCTCTGTCAGGCTGCTGTTCACAGAAGTGTCCCCAGAGAGCCCTTGAGGCAGGCAAGTGTCCCGGCACCTTTCCTTGGAAGAGGATGTGCAGTTGGCGAGCACGGGGAAATTGGGATGAGGTGTGAAAGCCTGGGAGGTTCAAGGCTGCCTTCAGGAGTCTGGTTTAACTGGCCTGGGTGTGGTCTGCTGTAGAGGTTTCAAAGCTTGGCAGGTTTTAATGAGCAGTCAGATATGTGCTGCTGGCCTGGGGTAAGCTGGGAATGACCTCAGCACCCAGGGAGTGTGAAGTGGCAGCCAAGGACAGTCCCACACGGGCTGTGAGCAGCTTGGAGAATCTGAAGGCAGGTGAGAAGGGCCCGCCAATGGGGAGAGCCTGGAGGAGACACCGGGAAGGGTTGGGCTGAGGGAGGGACTGTGAGGTGGAGGACACTGGAGGAGGGTGGAGGGAGTGGCCAGCACCACACGGACGGTTGGCAGGGAGGCCCGAGGGTCTGCAGGGAAGGACATGCTTTAGGGCGTCCTGGTGACCTCTCGGCCTCCTTCCCATCGGGACACTGGCTCCTGGAGGGGTGAATGTGACCCGGGGAAGGTCAGCACAGTCCTCGTGGGGCCAGCTAGCGGTGGGGTTGGAGTCCAGCTGGGGGTGTCCCCTCCACTGGGATACTGCTCTGTCAGTTTCAGAGAAACTGGGTTGGTTCTGCATAGAGCCAGTCTGCCACAGAACGAGCCTGCCCTGACCTGGTTCTGTCCTATTTCTATACTCTCCGTGGAGAAATCCTCACCATCACCTCTCTGGCTCCCTGGAAGACGCAGTCTTTATTGTGTAGAAGGAAATGTAGTGAAGCCAAAGCTTTGCCTTGTTCCATGTTTCCAGTCCCACAGTAATCACCGGGGAAAGGTGGGGGCCAGGTACTCACAAGTGCCTCTTCTGCTCTTTCACTCCCTGGCGGGACAGGCTGATACCCCAAGACTGAGTGAACAGCTGACCTCTGGGCAGGCCTCGTCCCCAGGGCCACCCTGATGCCTCAGGGCCAGGCTCACCCTCCTGGCCAGAGGGCGCATCCTGGGTGGCCCGCCAGGTGCTGCACCGCTGCCATCTCAATGTCTCCAGGACAGCTGTCCTCAGCAGCCCACCCAAAGCCCATGTCCCCATCCCAGGGTCCCACAAGGAGAGCTTGGACACATGAAGCCTGGTCTCTCAGGCTGACAACGTCCACTTTGTGTTTCAAAACTCCTTGACACTAGGAAGCCCTAGGCTGCAAGACTTTCTCTATGTTGGCCAGCATGCTGAGGGCTCCCTGGCTCCATGTTGCCCATGCTGCCTGGTATTGCCCCTGACAGAGAGAGGAGGTGCCTGTGGGCCACTCCACACTTGAGTGCCTCCCCCTTGGGACCCCAAATGGAACATATAGCTACAGGGGGCTGGGTCCTGTGGGAACCCTCAGCTCCCAAGCCCAGGTGGCCAGCTGCCTCCGCTCTGCCCAGCTTGCCCCAGTGTGCCCTTCCCAGAGGAGTCCTCTACCAGACTGCATCATTGCACTCAAGAGGCTAAATGTGGGCCAGCCATGCAGGTTAGCAGGAGGAGAAGGAGGGGGAGGGGGGGAGGAGCCATCTCCAGCATAGGGACTGGAGACCCACACTGTGACACCAGCTGTTGTTGGGCATGCACCTTCTCCCTCCCACAGGAGGACCCAAGGGACTGGGGCCCTGCCAGTCAGAGCTGGTCCTTACAGGCCCTGAAGGACACAGTGGGGATGTTTCCCCATTTCATAGATGAGAAGCCATGGCCTCAGGCCAGCCTTGGGCCTCGCACTCGCAGCAAGAAGGGAGAGAGCAGGGGTCTTTAGAGCTGTTCTGGGTGGTGGGTAACTCAGGGCTCAGCCCTTCCTGGAGTCATGGTACCTGCATGTGAAGAGTCGGGAGACGAGGGGACCAGCCCGGCACAGTAACTCCTCGGCACCTGCTGTCCTCACAACTGTGCTCCTCACCATGTCTCATGCCTCCTTCCAGAAGCTCCCTCTTCCCCATGCAGCAGGTCTTGTGCGTGTGTGTGTCTCCTGCCTGGCCATGCAGGAATTGTATCCTTGCACCTACAGCAGGCCTGGCCATGATGGCATCAGGAGGCCTCTGCCTTCTGAGTCAGGGGATGCCCTCCTCTTTCCCAGAGGTGGAGGGCCTGCCTCTGGAGCCCCTCCTGGCCTGGCCTGGGCTCCATCTCTGTCCCTCTCCATGTCCGCCACCACATCTGGGAGGACCTTGAATGGGGGAGAAAGAGGGGCCTTGGGAAATCCGCGATGGAGGGTCAGTGGGGAGGGGGAGAGGAGGCAGGATGGGCCTACCAGGGAGAGGTGGAGGTGGAGGTGGGAGGTGTGTGTGCCATGGGAGGGTGAGCATGCGAGTACGTGTGCAGAGGGGAGAATGTCCATTGCGAGCTTGAGTCCTAACAGGAAGGTGTACATTCACGGAGGCCCAAGAATGTAGGTCTAAGTTGTGCACATTCAAGCCACTGAATGGAACATTGCCTCAGGGAGTGAGAGTCATCTGCTCACTTCCAGTGGTGCTGAGGGGCCTCATGTGCCCTGAGGGAAGGGTTCTCACACTACAGATGCCCTGTGTCTGAAAAGACCGGGCAGACAGACCAGCAACCTCTCTTAACTTGTCCGCTCAAAAACATATACGGGGCCGGGGATTTAGCTCAGTGGTTCTGGCACCTGCCTTGCAAGTGCAAGGACCCAAGTTCAATCCCTGGTACCAAAAAAAAAAGGCATATCGATGTTGCAAAATGGAAACCACCCAAGTATCAGCGGATGAGTGGGTCAGCAAAGTGTGGTCCATCTAGGCCAACTGTGACAAACCCATGGCACACGTGCCACAGTGGGCATGCAGAGCCCTCTGTTGGCACGTGAGCCAAGTTGCCCTGGTCGTAGAGCACTGGGTAAAAGTTTTTCTAAAACCTTTCAGGTTTAATTGCAGTGTGCGCAGTTTGTGATAAATAAGTGGGTTTTGGGTTACAATTTGGGCACTTGGTCTCTAAAGAGTCTCCATCACTGACTAGACAGTAGAATATTACTTGGCCATAGAAAGGAATGGAGCACTGAGACAAGACATGCTACAACACATAATCTGGAAAACATGACAGCCAGTGAAAGAAGCTGGACACAGGCGCCACCTTCTGTGAGATCCCACTCATACGGCATGTCCAGAATCACAAATGTATACATGTAGAAAGTGGCCTAGCGGTTGATGGGGTGGAGAAGTGGAATGGGAGTGACTGGAGACAGCAGAGAAGGGCCCAGCACTCCCCAGGAGTTACCTTGTGGGCGGCCAGAGGAGAACCGAGGCCCAACTGAGCTCTGTGAGCATGGAGGAGGAAGGCTGCACTCGGGGTGGTGGCATAATGCAGGTTCTAGGGGGAATTTAAGACACCCGAGGCTCAGTCGTTCACCTAAGCGTGCTCTAATGGATACGGGAAAGCAGATGTGTCCTGTGTTGCTCGGATTGCTTGTGCCCATGTTTGGGAAGATGAGCCAGACACTGGGGGCTCCTCTGCCTGCTGAGAGGTGAGAGCCCCTGGCTCAGCTGCCTCCATGTCTTTGTCATTCATCCTTATTTGCCTCTGGTCAGGGAGAACAAAGTAGTGGGTCGAGGTCTCCCTTCGGCTGGCTGGTGAGTCGGCTACAGTACCTTATATATGTGTTTTTTTCTTCTGTGGCTGCTCTAAACCTTGCAGCCTGGCTGGTGAGTCGGCTACAGTACCTTATATATGTGTTTTTTTCTTCTGTGGCTGCTCTAAATGCCTTGCAGCCGGCCACAGCTATAATGAACACCCCATGGCTGCTGCAGTAGACATTTGCTTTGGTTGCAGCAAGCTCTGGTCTACCAGGAATCCCTCCTCTCCCCATGACTAAGCAAAGTCTGACACTCCCTAGGTATGAGCCCACCCTTTTCTTCTATGGAAACACCTTTCTGCATATCCTTAGTGGGCTAGCCTGTACTATTCCCTTATATCAGTGATGGTGAACCTTTTAGAATTATCAATGATACAAATAGCCTGCTGCAGCACTCGTGCCGTAAGTTCACCACCACTGCCCTCTATGCTATAGCAGAAATCCTAATAAAACCTCTTTTGGATGGCATGTTTCTACCTATTTACGATTTCTATCGAGTAGCAAATGCTGAGCTGGTACATTAAGAACTAGTAACACCAAAGGCTACTGGTACTGAAAGCAGGCAGCAGCCAAAGTTGGTAACATTGAAGGTGGCTGGCAGCCAGAAATGATGGAAATCAACAGAGAATTGTCAGAAGCCACTATTTCCAGTGGCCAGGAGAGTTTCTGAGACCTGCTGGCAGCTGATGGTTCCAAGCAACTAGGAGAACTGCTAGCACTAAAAGCTGCTGGTTGCTGGCATTCAAAGCTCTGAGTTCTTAATACTAGAAGAGCTACACTTTGCCTATTCATGATTTTTACACAAAGTGATTAAAAGAATCCTCAGAAGATTGACAGCCCACATGGGGACCTTCCCCTTTAGAGGACTCTGAAGAAGAGAATGACAATGGTGACATTGCCTCATGAATAAGAAGTAGCCATCTGAACCTTTGCTTCAGTGTTAGCCACATGGAACTAATCCAAGTCTGATTTCTATCTTATATGTGGCCAAGTACCTACATTAGCTAGCAAGATAGGGGTCTTCAAATGTTCTGGAACTAGATAGAGACAATGGTTGTACAATTAGTGACTGTACTAAATGTTACTAAATTGCACATTACAATAGTTACAATGGGAATTCTTATATATGAATTTTACCACAATTTTAAAAAGTAATCCTATGTGAAAAATACAACATTGGAAAGGAATGTGGTCTGC